CATCCTCTCAGGAAAGAAGGCACAGAATGAGACACATCTGCTGAAAATGAAACACTTTCTCCTCAAAAGAACTATGCCTAGTCAGGAGAAATGGGCCTTTTCTAGTAAATACATGACTCTGTTGTACGCAGTACATCACAATGCCCACAGACAGCTCCTGTGTGATCCTTTAGCACTAACCACAGAGTTTCACTCTTGTGGGTACCCTAAGGTTCATCATAAACAAACCCCAGACTTGCTTGAGCACAACTAAAAGCATATGCTATTTCTGAGGTACATGCAGAAAAAAAAAATGTCAGCAAAATATAAGCATCAGTATTTAAAGTGCTTCTGGTTTTCTAGTTACTAAGGGCACCGCCCAGTTATAATTCATGAGTGATTACTTATTTAATTCTTTCTTACCTGGACATGTCCTCTGGTTGAGTATCTGTGCTCTGCTGCCAGCAATCTCTGTGTGGTGTCCTACTTTCAGCCAGCCCACGAGCAGGTGACTAAAGACGGTCTGCATCAGCCCTCCCAGCGTCAGGTGGGCTCCTCTTTGTTAGCTATGCAATGCGTTATGTGCACATGGTACCTCTCAGACAAAACACTGCTTACCTTAGCACCTGGGAGCGCAAAGATTTTACTGGGGTGGGTGCTGTATTCATGAACTTGCCAAAGCAATTTCCATTAATTTTGAACTGAGTCCTAAGAGATTGCTAAATCAGAGGGTCTTCAGATAATTTGTGTCAGGCTGACTTCATCCCTGGTGCTGTTTATATAGGAATCTTTAACAACACAGAATTTGCCTCTGCTTTTTCCTGTAAAGGGCATGTTTTCCCATTCCTGGTAATCCCTACTGGAGAGAGTAGGACAATAGTTCTATGCAAGAGCTGAAGGCATTTGAAGAAACAGAATAATTTGGAAAAGTATTTCCAGGAGAGATAGATGGGTACTCCTCTCCTAAAGCACTTCAGAGGCATTTTTTAGAAGTCGGAACACCATCTGCTCCTAAGTAGAACTCTTCCTCAGTCCTTCCCGCTTTCTGATGTAACTGATACAAGCAGTCTGCAGATGGAGCCTCCCAGCCCAGATGGAAAGGGAATTTGGCTGGATACATGGACTACTTTTTTCTTTCTGTGAAGAGGCCTTGCTATAAGCAGAGGGATGTGATCTGGACACCTAGTGGGGATGAGAGGGTTGGGATCATGTCTGCTGTGTCTGTTTGGAAAAACAAAAACCTGTTTTTTATGTTATTCAGTTAATTACCTGTGAATTAGTAATTAGCCAGTCAAATTTTTTTTCCCCCCCTTAGGAAAATTTCTGCTCCTATTTAAAACCTTTTTTTCCGTGAAAAAAAAATTAAATCAGAAGGTAATGCAACATAAAACATAAAGTGCATTCAAATTGAAACGTTTATCAAAACCAAGCCTACAGCAAGCTAAACAATAAATGCCTTTTTCTTTCCTTCAAAAAGTGTATTTTAAAAAACTAACTTAATTATGAAACAAAACATTTGGTGACTACTTAGCTGGCTGATGGCAAAATAAAAAAAAGCCAAATTATTGGTGAGCATTCCTCTATTAGCAGCAACGTGAAGATCTATTTTGAAAACCTCAGGTAAACTCCCTGCTTGTTTTATACACATGAGTAGTTGATTAAAATAGGACTGCTTGAATGAATAAGCAATTAGGATCTGATTACATTCAGGTAAACTGTAGTTTATTCTTTATTTTAAAGAATTAATAAATGATTCTCAGCTGATGTCTTAACTGCTCTCAGAAGGTGAATCATCAAGGTCTTTACTACACAGCCAAGTACTGAGGTTCTTCGGTGCTGATTTTTAACAGATTTCAACAGAGTCATTTCTTTGGGGAATCATCTTTAACACAGCGGTCACAGTTCCTTACTCATATAATAAAAATCATGCAAATATGTGTTTAGTTTATGCTAAAGACAGGCTCATTTAAATAAGGGAACTGATGTTCATTTACTCTGGTGTAAATGAAGCCTGCTGAAACATTTCTAAAAGTGGATCTGCTCTTACTGCAAATCCAAGCAGAGCGCAACGCTTTTACTTTGCTCTGCCACAACTGCACTCTAATGATGTTCTCAATTTTGCTGTACATCTAGCCCTTCTTAGAGCTGTATTTTTCTTAGCTAGCCTTTGCACAAGGTATTGTCTCATACAGCATGCAAGCACTCTACAAAGAGCTTCAGGATGAAGCATGTATTTTACAACAGATTTATGGCAATTTGGAAAGTCTTAATTATCTTAAAATCTTTCTCAGGCTTAAAAATGGCCTTGCACGTGAGCACAATTCAGGCAGAATCCTTATGCTGTGCTTTTTCCCCAAAAAAGGGGAGTGTCATGAGGACACTTCTCATGTAAGTCTGTCCAGCCCAACTGCACTTACATATGCAGAACTTTCATAGTAACTTTCTATTAACCCAAAGACTTTCATAGTAACTTTCTATTAACCCAAAGTTCAGTTTGACTGATGTTCTCCTTTTCAGCTCCTCTTCCCACAAGGGAGCTATAGGTTTTCTCAGGCTGCCCTGTACAATATGTGTGGAACATTTTCCCCAGTTCTGCATTTCCTGCATTCTTCAAATCCTGCATTACCATTTTTTTATTAGCTTTCCATCTATCCAGCCATCCATCTGAACTGAAAAGATGCATATGCATATGGTGGTAAATCTAGCTCACTGTCTTTTGCTACTACAACTCTTCATCCACCCATGACCCTTCCCCCTCTTGATTTCATCCCATGCTATATTAGCCTACAATTGATTTTAAACTCCAGGGACAAGAAGCAGCCACTTTAAATTATTTGTATATTATAGCATTACCTGTAGCCATCAGACAGTTTGGGCACCTCTTCTGCAAGGCATTATACAAATACATTGCAAAGGAGAATACCCGTCTCGAGAACTTACAGGAAAGTCAGTCAAGACAGGGAGTAGGAAAATATTATTATTCACCTTTTCCAAACAGGAAGGTGAGACATCAGGTGACACAGGAAGTCTGGGACAGAGCCTGTATTTGAATATAGATGTTTATCCAGGATCATAAGCATGGCCCCAGCCTTTGCCTGACAACCAGCATGAACACTTACAGCACTAAAGTAAGCAGTGAAAGCTGAGCTATATTAAAGTTAAATCAGAAAGCTGCATTTACAGTAGAAAATAGAAGGGACAAGAAAGTTGATACCCTGGCATCACCTACCAACAGAAACAAGAAACCAACGATCAAGAGGAGGAACACTGGTGAAGAGATCTCCTCCCCATCCTAAGAGTTGCAGCTGCTGATGAGAGGATATATATGCCACAAACATATAAAATATAGATTTAAATATACAAATATACAATAGGAAATAGTCAGTATACAAATACTTACATGTAAAAATAGCTTTTTACTTTCCCCTTTTCATGATTTACAAAAGCATACAAAGTTTCCTGTTGGTTAATGTTTAAGTAGTGTGAGTAAACCCTGTGTGTCATGTTCCACACATAATTCTTTCAAGTGTTCACAGTATTGGCTATTACAGTGTTGAATCTGACATTCCAGATGTTAAATTATTTGTAGGACACATTCTAAACTTAAAGCATTACTTTAAATACAGTTTAAATAAAACTCGTGTGTAGTTGAATTATGGTCATATTACAAATGAGTCTGCTGCAGTTGAAAACTTTCCATGAGAGTAAGCTTGGAAATACATATTTCAACTAGAGATGAGTATATTTTAAAATTCTTGAACTGTCTCTTGATGTGCAGATAATACTGTGAGGTGGTGAGTTCTTTCAACTCCATCAGAAGCAATGCAAGCTGAGAGAACTCAGTATTACAAATTATCCTCAGTAGGAAAGCCGATGCACAGAACAATTCGCCATCAGATCCAGACATGCTGTCACTTTCTTCAAATACCCAACAGACAAGAATAAATGACAGGCACCATTGTTTCTGTGTCAAGAATAAATGCTTTGTAGCATTCTTCATCAGGAAAGTGCTTTATGGACTTAAATTAATCCTCACAACTCCCTTGTGAGGTAGGTAGATATTATCCCTGTTTTTAAAGATGGAGAAACTGGAGATTTAAAATAAATTATGATGGCTGCATGGGAAATACTGTCAAAATACTGATATTTGGATGTTGGAGCAACTCAAAGGCACAACTGGAGTCAATGGAGATGTTCATGAGATGACTTTACATTAACCAGCTTGGGTACTGACAGCAGGCTTGGTACAACAGCCAAAGGTTCAGCATGAGCTGCAAAACACAGTCTTTGCTAAGTGCCATGCTGCTGGAGCTAAACTGTGGGACAATGGCCTCAAAAAGTAGAAAACACATCATCCCAGATGGCGCAGCCTGACCAGGGTGGAAGGAAGCTGCATTTCAGAAGTTATGAATTAATCAGGAGCCTTTAGTAAATAATATCTTCTCATGCGAGAATTGTGTACAGTTCAAGAACCATGCTTAGCTCATCTCTAATTTTACCATATATGCAAGTGCTCACATGTATCAATGTATACAGGTGTTTTTTAAAATTTACTCACTCATAGACCTTGGAGGTCTATATTTTTTCTCCTATTTCTTTTGTCAAAAATTTCTTCTAATACCACAAATGGAACTAGTGCTGCAGTGCTGCAAATGAGCTACAAATACCAGTTTTAATTAACTACGGCGATGGACAAATTTTAAAGGACCACCTTGTTCTCTGTGTGCACCTGTATATACAGGAAATCTCATCTGTCTTTAACTGCTACTGCCTCGAAGTAAAATCCAGTTGAAGTATAAAGTGCATTGTGTGGAGTAAAACCCTAAGAAATAACAAACAATGTGTCTGCCTTCCACAGCTTGATTAATTTTGCTTAACAGCTGAACCATCACCCTCCTTGTCTTCTAGTTTTTAGTTTAGTGTTGCCTAGGCTGAGAAAGGCCAGCCAGATGTAAGCAAAATTATTGTAAACTGAGACATTTTTGTAATATGCTGTTAAGGGAGAGTTAAGAAAACCAGTATCAAGACACTGTCCAGTTGGGGTGTGTAAATATTATTGTGTGCTTCTTGGCCCATTTAGCGAATACTTTCTTTTCCGTGATAAACCTATGGCCTCCATATGGAGCATTTTCATGCAGAAAGTATTCATCACACTCATCTCTTCCTGGCTCATAATAGTGGTAGGGAACTTTACGAAAGCCTTCTGACCTAGGAAAAAAAAAAGATACATGTCAGTATTATTTCCAAGAAAAACCTTAATATATACTGCACCTGAACTCACTGAAATCCTTTCCATGAGTCAGCACCTGAGCTCCTTTGCTAAACTGTATAAGGGCTTTCATTACAGCATGATTTGTATGAATTTCCTACAGAAAATGAAGCTACCTGTATCTCTCAAAATACACTGATCTTTATCAGTCAATAAGAAGCTGAGGGGCTGGCTCTTATGGGCACTGCACGTTTTGTTTAACCTGGGAGAACTTGATTCATGATGCTCCATCTCTAAGCCAAGTCTTCTCGTTGGATAGTCCCAACTCTTGAAAGTGGTTCTTAAACTGGCTGAATAAAACAGTTGTAAGAATAATACACATTGTAAGTAGGTAATGCAGTCAGAATTGCAGCTTTAAGGAAACCCATCCTTCTCTGCTGCCAACACGCTGAAGTGCTATCATTCTGTTTACTGGTTTTACATCAGGGCTATGCAATGCCAGCTTGGCTGAACTCTGTGAGGACAACTTTAGTCCTGTCACCCCTCATTTCAGGGCGCCTACTGTGTTTTCATAAACAAAGAACAACATATGTTCGTTCCATCTGGATGACTCACTCAATCAGAAAGATCTGCAAGTTCTAAAAAGTCAGCCTCTAATGTTAAGATACCCTAATTAAACAGCTGTGACTCAAATTCCTTTTTTTTTTCTTAGGGTCTGCCAGGAATAAGTCCCACACTGGAGTAACACAGAGCACGGAGTGAGGGTCTGTATGAAGACTTTACTCTAGGAGCTGAGGACCCACTGCACTGGTTTCATGCAAGACTTGAACCAGCCTAGGTACAGAAGAATAGATTTGTGCTAGTATCATACATTGCTTATGACATTTTCTGCTTTTCTGAATGAGGAATAGTTTCATTTTATATTTTGCTACCATATACCGTATATTAAGGCATTTAACTTGGAGTTTTAAAAATTGTGTTTAGAGTTATACTTCTGACAATAGGATTAATCCATTGTCACTGTAAGGTCACTAACAGTAGTTGGTTGGAATTTATGTCAGTTTACTGTGATAAAGCTCACAGGACTTGTTTTATTACCTAATTAGAAACCCCCTACTACTCAAAACAAGCCATATATAACCTAGAAAGTTCAAGTAGGTTGCTCAATGGTGTTGAAATGTAATTTCAGGTAACTATCGTGGGCTAATCAGTTTCTTTCACTTCCAGGTGTATTTGGTATTCAGAGAATATTATTATTCCCTCTATAGATTCGTTTTAGCAGTAGAAGTAAGTACATTTTGTCAGAAGAGTATGAACATACTTTGTTTCCAGCTAATTCAGAAACTGCAAAAGATCTTTGATTAAAAATAGTTCCTTATGACATCTGATGTTAGATTTTGTAAATGTTTTTATTTTATCAACAGCAAATGCCATATCAGGACTAAATATGCTGACAATAGTGTCACATCAATGCAAAACACTGGGAAATGACTGCCTGATCCATTTTTTGGATTTATGATATTAAAATCAATTGTGAAATTTTGACAAGACATCAGAATTGTAGATGCATGAAAATAATTTCCTGTGATCTTACTTGCAGTAGGTGTCATTTATCATCCCATAGACGTGAATTCCATAGCAGGCATCCATAGCTAAAATTAAGGTAAACCAACCCGTGCTGAGATATGAACCTGACTGGACTCTGTAAAAATACAACATACAAAAAACAAATTGCAATGAGAAATTATCAACACTTTATCAAAGAAATATAATCTATTACCTGGGAGAAAAGGCATTAAGCAACTTGACAATCTGTCAAAACCATACAATTATTTTGAATTATTTACAGATATGCTCTCATTCTTGCCAACTTGGGGCCTCAAGCTGTTGTCCACAGAAAAAATACCATGTTAAATATCGGAAGTCAAGCAATGCATCTCCCATAAGACAGAAAATAATTTATTTTTACGTCTGAAAGATAGCAATTGGTAGAGTGTGTAAAATGAGATAAAGTTCACCAAAAACCAAACTACTGGCAGAGTTTGTGCTGTGTGCATGTGAGTATGCACCATCCTGTTCCACAAGCAAAATCTTAATCTGCGGTAGGCTATACTCAGCTCGAAATTTACTCAGTAATGAAACTTTTAAGGACGTTTTGGTAGAAAACCATCTAATACAAGGCTTTGAAAAACAGAATTCTCTGCCTATCCCTTTACATAAGTTTGTGTTAACATTCTTTAAGATAACATAGCAGAGAGAAAAACACAAGAGGACAGTGCCCAGATTGATAACCTTTGCTCACATAACTAGTTGCATTAAATCAGTCCAAAAGTATTACCTGCGTGAGTGAGGACAAATGATACACGTAAGGATTTGGCTCACACATGAGCTATGTGAGCAAACATGCATCGTTAATTGCAGAGCAGATCCTGTTCACTCCATCCACACAAGTGTTACCAATGGGGGACTGGGAGTCAACAGAGCTACCCGTATAACCTGGGCAAGCAAGACATACTGCTTTAAAACATTGTAAGTAATAAGAATACACTTAGCCCTTGCTGCTTACAAACTGGTTGAATTTCAGCTTTGTGCATGTATTGCTTTCAGTTTAACTGAAGTCAATAAAAATAATTCCCTTAAAATTATAAAGAACTTGTCCAATTTCCAAAGAAAAATATCACAAAAGTCATAAACCCATCATAATAGAGCCCCAGCTTCGGATCCGTTTGTGAGAATTGGGTGTGTGTGAGAGGAGGAGACAATTTAGCTTTATGCCACATCTTTTAGCTCTTAGCTTTTGGGTGCAGTAAGGAGCAGTCTGTTCTCCATCACAAGCTGAAGTAGTCTAAGATTTGCACACAATTAAGTTTTGCTGCAAAAAAACTCCCAAGTAGGCTTACGTGCAAATGAGTTATCCCCATCAACAAAATCTTCTGAAAACATTTTCATCCTGGGGTAGGAATAAAGATTTTATGTGGAAAAAAAATACCATACAGCAACTTATGCAGCCTGTAAAGCCCAACTTTGCTGTGAGACAGAAGAACCAACCTCAGGTATTTCTTCCTGGTTCAGAGCAAGAACGTACTATGGTCTCCTGCCTCCCTGGTAAATCTGCTGATCAGTGGCTTTTGGTGCAGATTCTGTGTCACTTCCTTGCTCCTTCTTGTTGAAGCTTGACTAAATACTAATTAAGATGATGGATGAAAAAGTAGTTGTACAACCTTTATAATGACATTAACATAATGACACATACAGGACTGAGATTTAAATTCCTTTTCTGATTAATACCTTTTATTAAGGATAATAGAAAAGCTTCATAAGCTTTACATTCCTAAAGAAACTCCAGTACACTCCAGTTTAAACAAACCTTATATTTTTTTTAGTGAAAAACAATTACTTCAAATCCAAGACAGTTTCATCATACCCAAGAACACTTAAAGTAATTTGGGCTACATCTTCTCTTCCTTGCCCATGTCTATCATCCTTCATGGGCTAGCTGGTGTGAACTTCTATCCCTACCTTTCCTGAAACACCCTTTTCCTTGGGGAAACTCCTAAATATCTGTTTAGCTGCTTTTGTAAAGGACCATTCTGGAAACAATTAATAAAGGGGTAACAGCACTGAAGAATGATAAGTGGAAACAAAAGGCAGGGTGTCAAATACCTGTGTTCCATTAGGTGGACACCAACTGTAATTGTGCTTCTTTCCTTGACACCTTTATACCCAAGGAACTGTACATCTGTTTATCTGCCCCGTTAGGATCTTCAGTTCTTCAAACAGAATGTTCTGCTACTGTCTAGCAAAGAGAATTCCCAATCTGATTCATGTTATTTCAGAGTAACATTCTGCCGTGATAAAAAGCTGCATTGCTTCTAACTTGCTTTCTGCTCTTGCACCAGAAGAACACTAGCCTTGAGCTTTTAAAGCCATTTAGAATCATAATAACCATTTACAAGAACACTATGAAGATCAGGACCCTTCCAATAATGGAGGTTTATTGGAGAGTACTGTATTGACAGCAGCATCTGAAATTTGCTATACTCGGGAGGAAAAAGGAATTTTAAAAAAGAATTAATCAATATTTCATGTCTTGTTTTAACACCATTGGACCTTAGTCCTCTCATCTATATACTACACTGGCAGGATAAATAAAAACAGCAGAGTGAGTTCCCAGATACCTTCCCTGGGAGATGAAGTACATGACAGAATACAGATTATATACTTTAAAACAAAGCACTTACATTCCTCACATTTTTTCCTCTGAAGATACATAGGGATACGAGGGAATATACTTAAGCAGTGGGGATTCTGGATGATTTGGTAACAGCTTAGAATTCAATCTGATACCGTAAACATACTTTCAACATTCTAATGAAAGCAATATTAGAAATGTGAAAACAATTTTAGCTGTCCCTAAAAAGTCATAAATCTCTGAATACCTTTTAAAATATCATCCCATAAAACTGCAATGCAAAGCAATGTCTCAGCCCTTGCTATTATGTTAACACTGTGCACTCAATTTCTTTCTCTACAGGAGAGTTTTACGTGTTTTTTTGGCCAGGGCTTTTTGAGACTCATTAGAAAGAGTTCCTCTTGTTACTGTAATTGCATTCAAATGTCAAATTTTACACACTGAAAATAAAAGAAACCCCTATTTATTTGTAGCATAAGGCTGTGTTACTGCACAAGTCTGAGGGAAGGAGGACATTAATCCCAAAATAGGGAAAACAGGAGTTTGTTAAACATCATCCGTAGAACTACTATAGGCAAATCTGTTGTGATATATGTGTGTGCAGCAAATCCAAAATTATTCCCTATGGCTCAGAGTGACTTTTTCTTATACTCTAAAATTAATGGGGCACCAGATCTAGGCAGGAAATTGTTTCAACAGCTCAAGAGAAAATAATGCACTATTTTTCAAAAAATGCTTTTAAGAAGAAGATGGTTTTGCTTTCAAGACGTGATTTACAGCTGGATGCAGCAATAAAAAGGCAATGCTCACAAAAAGTTACTTTGTCTGTTTATCTCAAAAATGAAAGCTTGTTTTGCATACTTCCTACATTATTAGGATTCTTAGAGAAATGTTAGTTATCAGGATGTAATTCACTCTGCTAAATACCATCCAGCATTTCAGAAAAGTACATAGACATATGCTTAACATTAAACACATGAAAAGACCAACGGAATCAACTTAATTAAGATGCTTGAAACAAAGTATATGCTTGCCTATCTTGCTCTTAGCAAAGGTTTAAGTGCTTAAAATGTCCTTATTTCATCTCAGCATATAAAAGTAAGCTCCAAGATTAATAGTTATTTGCACGTTTCAAGTCTCAAAACATAGAATTTGCATTTTTAGTAATACTTTCCATAAACTCCAGTCCAAAGAACTGACTATAGTTTCTCGCAACACCTTAAAAAGGAGACTTGCCTTCTACATTTTAGAAGGAAATGGTAAAAACATGTTTAGGATTTCTAGAATTGTAATGTGTGATACATAAATCTTTAATTAAAAATTAATTAAAAATAAAAGCAATTAGACAGGGTTCTTTAGCCTTGGCTTTTCAATATTCTACAAAAAGCATAAGAAATTTCTATAAAGAAGATGGAATAGAGAGTGCCCCATAAAAATATTGGCAACTGAAATTCATCTTCTTTGACATCTATAACTATGCTTTGATGTAGGCTAAATGAAGGAAAAACTAGTTCCTTCTCTCATCAGAGGAAAATGGAGGAACATCAAATATTTTCTTAATGATCAAGGGCAGGTGAGTTCAAATTGGGTGAAAGTTTGGTTGTCACTTGAGTTCTGATTTTACTATGGAATTCCAGGAAGTTCTTTTCTTTGTTCAATTGTTCCAGGATTTTTTATGTGCACAATCAATTCGAGCTCTATGGTTCAATGGACTGCAATTTCCAGTGGGGACTTCAGTGGTAAAAAAAATAAAAATGAAAAAAAAAGTTTGTTAAGGCAGAGATGATCTGTAGACAAGCAATTTCATGTCAATCTGATTGCAGAAAAGGATTTAAAAGCCTATTTTTTAATTCTTTACTGGGAGAAATTAGAGAGCACAAAAGGTCAATTAGGAGTGTTAATTAAGATGAAAAACGAAGGAATTTAGGACTTCAAGAAGCTATTAAGTAACAGAGAGCTTGCCAAAAGCATTAACTAGACACTTTTCCTTTTTTGCATCATTTCAAAATATTGCAGTAAAATAAAATTCAACAATGACAGATTGAAATGACAAGATTCTCCAGGCCAATTAATTGACAAAAAATTTTATCTTTTCGTAAGGGCTGTTTATAGATTCTAATCCCCTGTTGACCCTCCTACCAAACTACTGAATCATCAGCAGCTTTATTTGCAGCAGCTTGTCAGGCCCCTTGATTAATAAATAAGTGTAAATAAAGGTATTGGTGTAGACAAACTAAGACACCTGTAATCCACAGAGTGGAAGCTTCATAATGTGAGATGTCTTTCCAACAGACTAAAAGATTTGTAAAAATGATTCAAAATAAATTAGAAATATTCTCAAGAACTGTGCCAAGATTATCTTAGACCATGTTCAGGTAGACATGTCTCTGGTACTTATTGGTATCTGAAGTGCATCAAGATGCCATTGGTCTTTTGGGAGGGGGTCAGTATACTCTGGTTTTGTCTGGCTCTCTGCCACTCACCTCGCCTGTGACTGACCCATGGGAATG